ACTTTTCACAATTCTCTTTTGTCTCATTACTAATAAAGTGGGACAAAATATTTCTGATGAAGTGTAAGAAGAATTACGGATTTCTATGCAACTCAGACAAGCTGAAGGATGGACCGACACAGGTACCAGTTCCGGACTATTAGCACTGAAGGTATGAAATGCTAGAGATACCAGAAGTTTTATCAGATGAAGAATGACCTGAGTAAGCCAGAGTATAGTCCATTTCTATTAAAAATTATCAGAGGATATAGAATTGAGAAGTCCTCAAAGAGAATATTTTCAACATTAGAAGACCAAGAAATTAGATGCATTATAAATTGTCTGCTCTGTTTTCCACAGGTGCCACCATTACTGAAGTCTAGGAAAAGCAAACAAGTTACATTAGAGACTGCTATGATATGGGAATACAGAGTTGAAATTGCAGGTGAACATAAGGAGGAATTATGAACCCTTAATTGCCAGCTCTTGTTTCTACTAAAAGGACTCTGCTACCTGATCTACATCATTTCTTCACGTAATAGAAAGCGTAAAGATTATTTAAAACTTTACTGATGTTTATGGCATACTTCTGTTGTAAGGAACAGTAATAGGCCGTGGAAACAGTAGGCAGTGTGGAAATCCATGTTTCTTGTTGCCGAGACAACATTTGGAGTGTAATGTGTTGTAATTAAACTCCACTTATGCTTTATTAGTATTTGCCCTGCAAACTCACCCTAGCAACTGGGCTTCTCTTTAAATTATTAATGCCAGACAATTTCTGATGACAATGTAGCTCCTGAATATTAAGCTAAACGTATCTTCTGTGAATTAAAAGGCAAGCGACTAAGCAAATAAATAAATCAGCTGATAATAGAAAAGAAGAACAAAAACTCCTTTCATGCCCTTCTTCTGCTACTTGCAAGATTTCACAAAAAATCTTAGGATGCCTTAATCAGAGAACTGGTGGGAAACACAAAGCAGGCCTGTGCATTACAGAGGTCCTACAGTGCCGATATTTCAGAGGAAGCTCTACTTTATGAGAAAGAAACGACTACAGAGATTTGCAGTTTTAAGTAACAGCTGAAACAAAACACACTTGGCCAATCCAAGGAAAGACAATAAATCACATTCTCAAGCAGGTAAACAGAGTAAAGGAGAATACGGAAGCACGTGGATTGTCAGGTACAAAATAAACATTGAAAGCAATTTCCCCACAAGTCATCAGTACGGGCAGTCAGGTCACAGGACTGGTCTTCCAGGAGGGAACCAGTAAGCAACGACGGCCAATTGCTTCCAGAGCTACCTGGAGGTGCACGCCGGCCAACGGCACCATCGGCTGCAGTTCGCTTACTGGAGAAAACAGCTGAAGAGTTCAAATAAGTATCCATCGACTTGGATTGCTCTGTGGGGAACAACAACTCTCCTCTGGTTTTCTGGTTTCAGAAGGAACTGAAGTTGGCCCAAGTAAAGGATTTCTAGTGCTCTGCATGCTGCACGGCTCCTCCAAGGTGTGTGTCATGTACCACCCCACCTGGGGCTGGAGCTGACCCCCATGAATATCAGACACCACCAGACTTTACCCCTCTCTGAACACTTTTCTTTTTTCCAGAAAAAGCATCAGTACAGAAAAGTTGAAACAGAAATGTACTTGAGATAACTGGATGTACTGAATGACAGCCAAGTACGGAGAATCCTCTCTCATGTGCCAACTGTCTCACCTTCAGCTTAGTAGAAAAACTCTATCCTAAAAAAAAAAACCATCAGCCTTCCGGTCTGTCCTTGATACAACTCTGGAAAGGTCCCAGCCCATGTGAAGGTAAACGAGGCAGACGTTTGATTCACAGTCTTTCCTGATATGAGAAAGTACATTGCTTTCCCTCCCTTACCCGCTTCATTTCCTGATGGGCTGAAGCAAGCTGCACCATTAACCCTGCTTCTGGTACCACTTCCCTTTGAGCAGGGCAGCACCAAGACCACAGCCAGTGGTACCAGCAGCTACCAAAGAAATCTTACAGGTTTGACATCAGAGCCGCCAGAGCATCTGAGGGCATCTGAGACTCTTATTTGTTCCTTGACATCTGAGTGCAAGAGCCAGGTAGTTTTAGAATTAACAGAAACTGATCTTGAAGATGCTATTTTCTTCTGACAGAACACAACCATTCAAAATTTACTCTTTAATTATCAAAAGTCTTAACTAGGACAAGACAAAGTTTCTGTCAGGCTTTCCTATCAGGTTTCAGCAAAGCATCAACAGGAAAACAGAGAAAATCTGCAGAAAACAGTAACTAAGGCACATTTAAGCTGTAACAAGAAAAAGAAAGCCTTTACAGAGTCCTACTTTCAGAAAACAAAAATTCCCAACAGCTGTTCTGCAGGCTTCTGGGGTTGCATTTTTAATTTGTCCTCAGAAAATACCAAACGCTAGAAGCACCAAGACCCCTCCAGGATGTGGAAGGGGCTGAGCAAACAGGAGGAAACTGCCCAGAGCACGAAGACAGACTTGGGAGAAAGCTATCTTAAATTCTGCATTTCAGTCACATTTTGGAACAGTTTCCTAGCAGAATTCCTGAGTAGGGAAGAAAAGGCTTGGCAAAGAAAGTGAATAACCAAAGCAGAAGATATATATATATATATATATATATATACATACATGTATATATATTTTAATTTGTGCAATTGAAGCAAAGAGAAAAGGACTTCCCTGCATGAAGCTGTATCTATTCTGAATCTATATAAACTATCTCCTTACCTTTGACCAGCAACTACTGGAGCATTTGTTTCAAGTTCTACAAGAGAAAAAGATAGTTTTTAGGCCCGCTGTAGAAGTACATACTTGCTAACAAGGCATGGCTATTTCACAGTTCTCTCGTTACTCATTACGTCTGACCATTAAGTGTCTCTTGTCTACTGTTACTCTCAAAGCAAATCCATCTAATGCACCCAATGAGGCAGACATCAGGCAGTGCTCTGATGAGGGCCTGCACCAGCTGCAAAAAGGAAAGGTTTCTTTTAACTCCTGCAGAAAGAAACTGCAGATAAACTTTCTAATAAGAATTACAGTCCTCTCCCTTATAAATTCTATGTTAGTCGGCTTATTCCTTTCAAGGCTTCTACATTTTTATTGTTTTAAAACTTAAAAATACTGATCCGAATCTACCGTACAACTGACAAACATTTCTCTTTAACACAACCACCTGAAAGCAGTATCTCCTAACGAATTTTGTAGGGAGGTGCAGGAGGAACACACACTTCTGAAGCCCAGCTACACTTCTGCTGAGGTGGAGACTGCTTTTGGAGGTGCCAAAGAGCACTGTGCTCTGCCTTCCTCCTCCCTCCTAGTGATATCATAAATAACTCTGCTTTTCCTTTGACTGTTCACAGCAGCAGTGATTTATGTCATGTCATATTTCCCATCCTTTTTTTTTTTTTTAATTAATTTAATTGTCCATCTTTTAATTACCCCCATATCTACCATTTTGCTGAGATGGAGTACCTCTACCTGATCACTGAGCCTCTTATGAGAAACTGCAACTGATCTAGAGATTATCACTGAAATGCACTATCTTAGCTTGCTGTTTAATGACTGCACTGCCTGTGCTGGCCTCCACCTCACCTTTATCTTTCAGTGTTTGTGGCAGTGGCTTTGTCTTTAAGATCAATTCAGTGCTCCACATTTTCTGTAACGCACACAAGGAACAAAGCCATGAAAAGAGTCAGAGAACAACCCTAGCCCTGTTATGGAACATGAGATTCTTCAGCGAAAGTGTACGTAACTGTGCCCAAAAACTCATCTCAGTAAGAAAAATAGAATGAGGAAGAAAAAGTTGCTCTTTCTTTCTACCGAAACGTGAGTAGGCAGAACAGCCACAGCAAAAATCAGTCAGACCAGTGCTTTCCTTTCCTGAGCAGGAACTCTGTGGCTGCACACACGGCTACACGTGTGCCAGTGCGAGGAGACACGTGGCACCCTGGCAGGGTGTGTGTACTCCTCGAGAAGGGAGCTTGATGAAAGCAACCGAGGACAATTTTTACTTTTCTCAAGCTTTACTTCTAATCATGCTACACACAGCAAAGTGATGGAAATGGCACTTCTCGTGTCCAACTTCACATCTGCCCATTTTCCTCATTCATCTTAGGAATTACTTTCATAAAACACTGTAGGATTGATGTATATGATAATAGATGGCAACAACAAAAAGTCACCTTTGGGTTGGAACTAGGTGGTCTTAAAGGTCTCTTCCAACCCAAAGCACTCTGTGATTCTGTGATCTGCCACAGCTCCATCCCTGAAACAATGCAGAGTGCTCTTTAAAAGCTTTGAATGGAAAGATAAATAAATGAACAAAGGATTAGAACTCTAAAAATTAACCTCCCAGTACTGCTTTGGGAAATATTTCCAGAAGCGTCCTACGCAACAAGAAAAACTCCTATTTGTCCTTAAAACTTCAAAGCTCAGACACGCTGAGTGCATCACTGTGAATCCAGCCTTTTACAACTGCGACTGAGATCTAAAAGCTGCCTTGGTGATTTCTTCCTTGCTTTATTCACCCTCCTACTTGTGCTCCAACGAGCCTTTGGAAACTTCTAAGGCACAACATATATAATAAAAGAAAACAATCCCCCCAAATAAAAATAAAAAAATAAATTAAAAAAAAAAAGCCAAACTAGCAAGCTTATTCGTGATTTACCATTTTTAGTTAGAAACATAATGAGTTAGGTCACCTACATTCTGCTTTTCCAAAGGAAAATTTACCTGTTCTTTGAACAGTACTTTCTGTTGTGGCAACTGAACTTTTTTTCTGCGTTAAATGTTGAGAGGATGCTAGAACAGAAGTGGAGGGGAAAAACCATTATTTTCAAACGGAGTCACAAGATTTTTTTTGCTGTAAAAGCAGCAATTGGGCTGCTTTTACAGAACAAGGCATCTTCCAACTTACTTCATTTTTACATTTACAGATAGAATTGTTGTAATCCGCATTCTATTCTTCCCCCCTTCACCCCCCCCCCCCAAAAAAAAACCTCCAGCTCCTCAGTTTAAAAACAAACAACAAAAACCTCTCACACCTAAAACCATCAGCCAACCTACCCCAAGCAGGTTTTCCCAAAACACTTAAGTGATGCAGCTAAATATCATCAAGTGTATTTTTAAGGGCAGTGTTTTGCCACTGGACCAAGAAACTAAAGAGAGACCTAAAAGAGGTCTCTGTTTTGCATCCCTCAGCTTCACGCTCGTTTCAGCAGAAGTCTTGAGGAAAAACAGCATCGTTGTTAGTGAATGGATACCATCACCTTCAATTAACATGCAGAAGTGCAAGCTGCTCCCAGAGGCTCCCAGGATGTCCTCAGTCAATACGATATCATGACTCGACATTTTTTTTAGGTTGCCTTGTTAAAAATAATATAATAAACCAATACCTGTTACACAAATGCCTTCCAGTCTTCTTTTGGGTGTGATCATGAACTTAGCAAGAACACAGACACATAAGGGTTCCAATTTAGATAAAGAATATTCTTTCCATTTGTAAAAACACACGTACATTCAGATGCCTGCATCACTGTCCCACATCTGAAGAGAACGCAGCCCTCTGCAGTCGGAACAGCTTGCTTCAGACTTGAGAATAAATGAATCCCCACTACTGATGCTGAAGGTAGGGACATCTATTTTTTTCTTACACACCAAGAAGCAGCGAGAGCATTTGGAAAGTGCTATCACTGCTTCCTGCTTTGAGACTGCTGTACAGACTTACATCACGCTGCTCCTGCCAATAACTTTTTCTTCTAAGAAAGCATAATTCCTTCTGTGAAGCTCAAAGGCAGCATTTCCACCTTCTGGCAGCATACAGCTACGGCACACAACGAGCCCCAGGGAAAATTTAGGCTTAAATTGAAGCTCGTTTGCACTGATTTATGTGGGACCTATTTTCCATGCTTTTGTCTTCCAAAAGACAAAATCCTTGTCTAAACTGACAATATAAAGCACAATGGATATTCAAATTACTTTAAGAGTGATGACTTATTTCCACATTGCTTCCAACAGGTTAAAATGGCATCAAGAGCAAGCAGTGATGTCATGAATAAAGTCTGTCAATGCTAAAAGTAAAATTATAAAGGAAACAAGGTAGAAATGAGGAGATTTTGTGTTACAACACACAATTGAGACATAATTGAACTTCTAAGTATCTCTCTGAAAAGAACATTTTCATTTTTCCCTGTGCATAATTTATTTATTTACTTATTTTGCTAGAGTTCAGCTATTTCTCTAGAAGATGAAGGTTCCCATTGGAGGGAACTTGTATTAATAGGATTAACACCCAATATCAGAATTAAGTCTATATATTTAAGTAAATTATATATGTTAAAGGACTCTGAGAAGACCAAAGCAGATCCATACACCTGACCAGGAGGGGCAACCTGGCAGGGCTCATTACTAGAGCTTTAAATTAGATTCGATGGGTGCAGGGAACGTACTCCTGATGCACAGAGAAGAATCAGGGAACACTGCCACTTCAGGAAGCTGTGGGGGAACACCTCAGATTTCCCCCAGAGATTTTTGCAAGGGCTCCTCCAAAAAGGCAGTGAGGCCAATAGCCCAGCAGAGCTGCCTCTGCACAGATGTGTGCAGCAGGGGAAATCAGCAGGAGGGGATGGAAGCCGTGGTGCAATCAAGAAATGCGTTGGGTTCATTTGTACAACTGGAATACTATGATTGAGGGCAACAGGCTTTTCAGAAAAGACAGACAAGGTAGGAGGGGGCAGGGGCATCGCCCTCTATGTTAAGAGGCGGACAGAGTACAAAGAGCTGCCTCTGGGAAACAGCCGTGCTCATGCAGAGAGCTGGTGGGTGAAAATATGGGACCGGACCAATAAAGGACATCTGGTGGCTGGGTCTGCTATGGGCACCTGATCAGATGCAGCCTGTGGATGAGGCCTTCGTGCGTCAGCTCCAAGAGCCACCGCTCTCACAGGCTCTTATCCTGATGGGAGATTTCAACCACTTGAATGTCTGATGGCAAAGCAGCAGAGCGGGCTGCGAACAATCCAAGAGACTCCTGGGGTGTGCTGATGACATAATTCCTGGCTCAGGCATCGGACAGGCCAACCAGCACTGAAGTACTACTGCATCTGGGGCTCACCAAAACAGAAGAAATCATTAAAGAGGTTCCGACTGGAAGCAGCCTGGGATGTAGCTGCCACGCTTTGGTTGAGTTCAGGATCTCAAAGAATGCGGGCTGGGCAAAGAGTCTAGTCAGAATCCTGAACTTCAGCAGAGTGAACTTCAGGCTGTTTAAGGAATTACTGGAAGAGATCCCATAGGAAACTGCCCTTAGGGACAAAGGAATAGAACAGAGTTGGCAGCACTTTAAGGATACCTTTCTGAGAGCACAAGAGCTCTCCATCCTCCAGCAGAAGAAATCAGGGAGAGGAGACAGAAAATCATCATGGCCGAGCAAAGGGGAATGGTAAAATTGAAGGAAAAGAAGGAATAATACAAGCAGTGGAAGCGGGGATGGACGGCCTGGAAAGAGTATAGGGATACTATACAGATGTGCAGAGATGGCATCAAGAAAATTCAAGCATAGATGGAATTCCACTTGGCAAGTGATGTAAAAAATAACAAGGGTCTTAAAAGACTGGAGATACATTGGTCTTAGAAAACAACAGAGAGCATACCCATTCTGATAAATGAGAGAAAGAACTGGCTTCTTCAGATACAGAGAAGGTTGAGGTACTTAAAGATTCTTGGCCTCGGTCTTCATTCCCAGTCAGGCTTCCCGTGCCTCTTGTGTTCCTGAACTTCTAGGCAGGGCTCAGGTGAACAAAATCCCTCTCACTGTAAGACTGGAGCAAGTCTGAAACCACCTCACGAATATGAATGTGTGCAAGTCTGTGGGGCCAGACAACACGCATCCTAGGGCTCTGAAGGAGCTGGCTGATGCAGTTGCCAAGTGTCTCGCCATCATATTTGAAAAGTCACGGCTGTCAAGCAAGGTTCCTGGTAACCAGAAAAAAGAAAACATCACTTCCATTTTTAATAAAGGGAGAAAAGAAGACCCAGGAAACAACAGGCTGGTGAGCTTTATGTCCGTGGCTGGGAAGGTCACGGAGTGGATCCTCCTAAAAGAGATGTTAAGGCACATGCAAGCTGAGAAGGTGATCCGAGACAGCCAGCACAGCTTCACGAAGCACAGCCTGCGTCTGACCAATCTGGTTGCCTTCTGTGATTGAGTGACAACATCAGTGGACAGGAAGGAAAGGAAGGGAAGCAGACGTTGTCTACCTGGATTTCTGCAAGGCCTTCAACATGGTCCCACGCCACATCCTTATCTCTAAATTGCAGAGATATGAATTTGAAGGCTGGACTATTTGGTGGATAAAGAATTGGTTGGATGGTCGTAGCCAGAGGGTCGTGGTCAATGGCCCTATGTCCAAGTGGAGGCCTGTGATCAGTGGTTGTCCTCCACGGATCTATCCCGGGACCAGTGCTCTTGAACATCATCAATGACACAGATGATAAGATCAAGCGTACCCTCAAAAGTTTGCAGATGACATCATAGAAGGAAGGGACACCACTCCTTCTTCACAGGAGCACCTCCTACAAAGAAAGGTTGAGGGAGGTGGACTTGTTTAACTTGGAAAAGACTCCACTGAGACCTCATTGTGGCCTTCCAGTACTTGAGGGGAGCTTATAAGCAGGAAGGGGAGAGACTTTTAACATGTGTGATAGCAACAGGACAAGGGGGAATAGCTTTAAACTGAAAAAGAAGAAATTTAAGTTAGATGTTAGGAAAAAATTCTTTACCCAGAGGGCAGCGAGGCTCTGGCACTGCTGCCCAGAGAAATCATGGATGCACCACCCCTGGGGATGTTCAAGGCAAGGTTGGGTGGAGCCTTGAGCAGGCTGATCTGGTGGCTGCCAACTAGCCTATGGCAGGGGGCTTGGAGCTCAATGATCTTTAAGGTTCCTTCCAACTCAAACCACTCTACGATTCTATTATGTACCAGTTTAAAAGATGTCTGATGCATCCAATTGTCACTGTTGATGCATCCCATCTTTCTCCCACTTCTAAGTTACATGAAGTCACTCCTCTATTATGTTCACATGAAATATCACACATAGGCTGTAAACGAAAACAGAAAGAACACCTGAAATGTGGATCTTGGTGAAATACAAGTCTACATATTATCCTAATACTAGAATTAAAAAGTAGTTGTCACCCTACAGAATCTGCATTTTATAATATTCATGGAAGAAAGCACCAAGGAAGCTTATGAAAGCAATCTCACAGCTTCTATTTAAGAAGGGTGGCAGCAGACTTACCCGTGTTTTGCAGCAGTTCCTGATGTGTGCCTGTTTTGTCCTCCACCAAACCACCCCCAGCCTGCTCAGCCGGTAAGCTGCCATGGTTACTGCCGTTTGTACTTGGTGTTGCAGGTGCGAGCTCTGGGATTGCTGGAGTGGTTACAGCTGACAGTGCACTTGTAGGAGGAGTGCTTGTTGATAAGCTTGGAGATACAGAAGCAGAAACAGCAGCAGCAGTGCTAACGCTCACATTGCCAGGCCCAGAAGTGCTCTGTTTTGTAAGACTGGGTACTGGAGGTGTCACAGTTTTATTGTCCAGTTCTGCTGGTGACTGCTCTGTTCCCAAGTTGCTTGGGACTGATGTCTCCAGCCCCTGACCTTCTGTTTCTCCATCCAAGGTGTACTGCTCTTCCCCTTTCTCAAGGGAGCCAGTGACTTTCTTGCACGCTTTTGTCAGCAAGAGTTGGCCAATCTTGTCTACTTTTCCCTTTCCTTTACTAGAAGAAACAGGACTTCGTCTGTTCCCGGGCCCTGGACTACTGCTTAGAAGAGGTGAAACCACGGGTCCAGGCTGCGTGGCTGTAACGGGGCACTGGTCATTTGACCCACTGCTCTGAGAAGCAGCTTCTTCGGGGCTCGAGTCTTTTGCTGGCTGAGCAGGAAGATGTGAAGGAACATTTGAAGAAGTTGTAGCAGGAGAAGGCAGCTGAACAGGGGGTGCCAAGGGATTAAGAACGAGTGGCCTGCTCGTGGGAATACTAGGAGCAGGGCTGCTAGAGGATGTGCTAGGAGGAGCAGGTGCAGAGGAGAACTTGATGTTCTGTGGTATATGTAACGGGCCCACAACTGCAACTGACTGAGGCATCAGGCTAGAGTTGGATGTCATCGGGGCTGTGGGAATCGTACTTGGTTGAGAGCCTTTCATAACCTGAATTATTGAGGAAGAGTTTATAAAAACAGGTGTAATGAACTGCGGCCGTGCATTAGACTGAGCTGCCGACTGTCCCTCAGAAACCATAACTTTGTTTCCTACGTTAGGCATTGTGACAACAGTAGACACTAATGCAGGTTGCAAGTGAGATGGCAACGGTGCTGATGTATTAGCAGAAGATGTAATGGGGTTTGAAGTTACAAAAACTGTTATCTGGTTGGGCGGTAAGGGAGCTGAAATAGAAGAAGTGACAGGCCTTTGCATTACTGGGGGAACACTCTGTGTAACATTTGAGTTTATTTCCCCCGGTTCCTGATGCCCTGGATTTGAACAGGGCTCATTACTTTGAGGGAAACTATGTGAATTAGATGGCTCTTTGCTAGAAGATGCATCTTGCAGTGGAGGAATGACAGCTACCTTTTTTATCTCCTCCACAGTGGTGACTACTGGTGCCATTTCAAGACCTGTCAGTCCTGGGGGCTTAATGGTTACATTAGGAGCTCCAGAATTATCAAGAAGTTGGCTTAAAGAAGTTGGTGCTTCCCTCATAGCCGCAGATACCATGGTTTTACTTTCCTCCAGAACTGGAAGCTTACCCACGTCTAAGGCCTGCCCATCTTTTTTTGACTGCTCCTCTGGAACCAACATTTTTATTTCTGGAGTAGGGATACCTTTTAGTTCAATGCTGGGCTGGTCTTTGTTACCTTGGACAATTTGTGCACTTTGACATTCATTATCTTGAGGAACACTGAGACTCTCTTTATTGTCTTCAGGAATGCCAGTCATAGCAGGTGCAGAAACTGCAGGACTCTGATTACTTAGCACGGTACTATTTTGAAAACTTGAAGTAACAGGTGTTGGCAAAGAAGCAGGACCAACCATTATGTTCCTCTGCACATCTACATTCTGCAAGAGAGATGGATTCTGCGGAGTAGTCAACGACAACTTTGCTGCCTTTGAATTCTGTCTACCAGGACTTGGTGTTGTTTTCCTGCTGGATCCAGGACTGGACCTTCGACTACTGCTTGGACTTGCTCTCTTTGTTCCTCCAGCATTTGTTTGCTTTCCTGAATTAACAACGCTTTCCAATTTATGTGACTGTGGAGCAGCAAAACTAGACTGATTGTTAATTGTGAGATTTGATGGGGCTTGTCCAATGGCCTTCAAAGTAGTAGGATTAAGACCCTGCTGATCAAATCCTCTACTGAGATTAGGCCTGGGAGGTAAAGGAATATTAATTTGGGGAGGGAAAAGACCAGCTATAGAAGCATTGAGTCTCTCTGGAGACAGGCTTATTTCTGAGGGTTCTGTGCTAGGTGGGCGGTTATTAGGAGTCTGAGGATAGTATGGCCTTGGGCTTGCTCTGTTTGGGGTTTTAGGCCTTGAAGTTTGTGATGGGGTAGCAACATTAGGAAAATGGTGTGCAAGGGAGCCAGGCAGAGAATTAGATTGCTGTTGAGGACTTGTGCCTTGGGTGGTTGAAAGTGGGGATGGTCCAGGTTTGGCTCCCGTCATCATTAATTGGTTCTGTGAAACTACTAAATGAGATGTCAAATTATTCTGAGCTCCTGATGCTGTGGTGCCTTCAGTTCCACCTCCTTCTGGAAGGGAGGATACTGATGAAACTTCTCCCAGAGGCGAGCTGGAAGGATTCTGTACATTATCTTGATAAACCATTTTTCTTGCATTATTTCCCAGAGAAGGATTGCTTGGCAAGGAAATTCTCTGTTTATCAGGAGACAGAGGCACAGATCCAGGGCCCTGTAGATTGACCATTACTGGCATGTTACCACTCGGCTGCATGGGCATTCTTTGGGCATCTGGATTCAGAGGCCCTCGAGGTGGATGAACTCCTTGTGGTACGGGAAGCCTGACTGATTTGGAGTCCTGCTGCATCATAAGCATCATCATCATTTGTTGCTGTTGCTGCGGTGTTTGTGGTGGTGCCTGAGCTTGCTGTGGAGGCAGCTGTGGCTGCTGTTGCAGCTGCTGTGGCTGCTGGGTATGTGGCATGAGTTGAGGTGGCATCTGCTGAAGTGGTCTTTGTTCCACTGGCTGAGAAGGATAACCTAGGAGGACACAGTGACATGCTGATCAAAAACAAAAATCAGAGAAAGCAGGATTTATGTAATGAATGGCATCAGACAGGAGGTGTAGGTTAACAGGAGAGCCTGTTAATCCCCTGTAACAGCCACATTAACTAAACAGGCTTTATAAACAAGGGAAATTATTTCACTTAAAGTGTTTTTAAGGATTATAAACGACCTGTGTGACACTGAATGGAAGGTCTCCAACATTCCAGTGACCAGCTATTACTCTGGCTTCACAACACCTCAGAAAGTCTCTACACCTGTCCACAGGCTTGTTGCTGCTTTCAAATGCAGAGTTAAACTTTCACAAATTAATTATCCTCAAAACAAACCTAAAAGTTTGTAAGACAAGAACTGGAAAGCCTGTTACATATCTGACCATTCCCACTGTACAAAGTAGAATCTACCATGCATCAATGTGTTACTTTGCAAAGAGCGTGCTGAAAGGAACACACGCAGCATGTAATCCTTCCTATGAATAAAGGATAATTCCAACAGTAACCTCCATCTCTTAATTTTGAAAAATCAACTACTGGCTACTGGTCAGTTTTAAAGACACCAGTCTGTGCTACTACTAGAAGTACAGAAATCTATTCAGAATTTAGAGTAGTAATTCTACAGTATTCAACATGATAATATTCAACACATATCACCTTCAGGTGATACACAAGGATGCAGACATCTATTCGTTTAGAGCTGGTTCAAAGAACACAAGTAAAGGAATCTATTATTTACTAGGAGAAAAAAAAAAAAAAGAAAGCTTGGTCTTGAACGTGCAAGAAAGTCACAAAGATCAGTAAAAGCTCTACTGTAGTGACAACATGTAACACTCACCTGGTGGCCTGCTGCCAAAGTCTGAAAGTTTAGGGCCTGAGCTGTCTAGGCTGATTCCCTGATCTCCGGACGTTGATGACTGATCGCTCTCCTCCAGGCCGCCCGCGCGCGGTTCTGAGGAGCTGGAAGAAAAATAATTGCTGTTTACATACAGCCGTAACATCAGTGTTTGGATTCTGCTTCCACAACCATCCCAGCACTTCTGGCTGACCTGCAAGTAACTCATGGAAACAGATCACTGCCTCAGGTACAGCACAGCAGGTGTGAACGCAGCCCAGGACTACCGGCAGTCACTTCTGGGCCTGAAGCACTCCTCCTGAAGAGAGAAGATGCCTGGTGCTTTACTCACCCGAAGCATTTGTTCCTTTCCTTTGTTTCTTCCTGTTTATAATTAAGAGAATGCCAGTGAATACTTCAAATTCATATATAAATGGCTCTCCTGATGCATTCAAACAGGCTTCCCTCGAACACTGCCATGCTACCTGTACACATAAGTATCGTGTATATATGCACTGAACTTCAGTGGCAGCACCAAGTTCCCAGGGGAGACCAGCTTAGGATATCAGACCTCTATCCATGTCACAGCACAAACGTATCGACACATCAGGCATTCAAGGCCATCCACCAGAGCACACAGCACTGTGGAACGCAGACCCTGCTCCAGGAGATCCTGGGGGACAAGTTAAAATTGCCAAGATTTGACATCCAATGCTTCCACTGCATCACAACAGCTTTTGCAAGCTTAGAACAAGCATGCTTTTGTAGCTAACGTGTGGCCAGAGGATGTAAGATGAAGAGGGATGAAGAGTAAAATACCTTAATGGCTTATTGGTTTCATGAATATACTGAGACTGTATGGAGATCTATGTAATAACAGCTCTCCACTTAAACTAAAGACACCAAAACAGATCTGCTGCCTGCAAAGTGAAGCAGAGCTCTACAGGAATGATGAGGAAAAAGAAACTCTCAGCAAAACAAGAATTATATAAAAGTTTACCTGACAGTAACAGCCCGCTTCTGGTATATGGACAGCTGGCAGCAAGAAACTCAGGCCTGCCCCAACGTCCTATTAACTACCCAGTGCTCAGAAAACAGGGAGCAACTTGGAAGCCCCTGAATTTTCACTGGTCAGCAGGGGAGGCTCAGGTGTGGGTCAGGGAAAGGCTCTGCCCGAACAGCGGTGGGCACAGCCCCAGAGCCTGAGGTCAGGGAGTGCCTGGACACTGCCCCACTGAGCCAATGGTTTGGGGTGCTTGGTGGAGCCAGATGTGCTCCTTGCAAATGGGGATGTTCTACATTTCTGTGATTTCTTAAAAATGGGGATGGGGATTACAAATGTTACAGTTAAGGGTCAGATGAAAAGCAGTTGCAGAGCATTACCACACAAACAGGCTTAACCTGGAGAGCTGTCCTTGTGCAAAATCAATTCTTCCGACACACCTCCAGCCAGATGGGAGCCATCAAGCAAGCTGCAAAACAAAACCTCACTAAACTCAACTGGAGTTTTGTTCTCTAGCAACCAGGAACAGCGATTACTGCAGGAACAACTGCTGCTACAGTTTCCGGGAAATTTAAACACAAACTGAATTTCAAAAGCAGCTGAACTTTACTGAGCCCATTTAACAACCACCAGCTATCTAAGAAGCCCACCACATTCTGAATACACATAACAGTGAGTCTGTGCCAGAGGGACAAACATCCCTTATTTGTTCTTCCATCCTACTGCTCTTAGTGCAAAGACAAACCAGCTGCACAGTATGGATTAGCAGTTTTCTAAGGGCACTTTAGCTCTACCGCTGCATTGCTGAGCACGGCTCTCAGATATGAACCTGCAGTCAGAGCACAAAGAGAATGTCAAAAGAAAAAAAAACTAGGCTAAGCAGAAAAAAACAACACCTCACCAGCAAAGAAACAACAACAAAAAAAAGAGATGCAAATGCTGACATAAGACTGGAAGAAATAAAGATACAGGGAAGGCAGTGCAAACTCTATAACATCAAATAGTCCTCTGGGAGATTCTGCAGCAGCTTTATCCATCCATTTACTGATATTCCCAGGCTACTCTGAGGCTGCATGACCATCAGCAAGAGCAATAAAAACAAAACTGCAACGAGGCTTTTCTTTAATGAACACAAGGCTTTTGGCTTTTCTTTAATAATGACACAAGGACTGTGTATTTTCCTTTGCTGCAAATGAGCAGTGCCCACAATGCACTGTTGCTAGTGCCATGCAACGTTCTGATGCAAACAAAAATATGCCGGAGTTATTGTGTGAAAGGTACCTGGATAGCCTTAAAGTTCAAGAAAACAACAGACAAAAATACCTCTTTGCTTTTAATTCAAGTCCCGTTTGAAGGCAAGACATTCATTCCAAGGCACACCAGTGTTGCACACTGTGTGTATTTTGGCCACTTGGTTCTAATGCCATAATTTCTGATGATTTAATTTGAAATCACCAGGCCTGTTTTGCAGCAATTTGAGCTGACAGGCTGCACCATGGCCCGTGTGTACAACTAAACAGCAGATATTTGACATTTCTTCTGCGCCTTTTAAACTGGAGTGCTTTGCCTTGCCTTCACCATTCAGCACCTCCACATCTGCAAAAGGCGTTTTATAGCAGCACTAGGAGATTAAGGCAGTTAAGGACTGCCACAGAAGATCCCTTGCAATATAAATAAATGCAAATCTGGATATTCCTGTGCTGCAAATTTGCTCAAACTTCTTCCATTCTTTTCTAAAGCAAATTGGAAAAAAAACCCACAGAAGTTTAAACCAACATGTAGATTCCTCTCAGGGCTTTTCCTCCTAACCTCCTCCAGGCTAGGAAGGCCAGCATTGCTTGGGCTTGTTATTCCCACACCCAGAGAGTACCACACTCCAACTCCTAGCTGCAACTTCCCCTAAGAGAAGACCAGCTCAATTCCAGGCAGAAACACAATAGCATATACATGTCTCCAGAAAAATCACAGAATTGTAGGGGTTGGAAGGGACCTCCAACCTCCTTCAAAAATCTATACAACATATTGCTATACAAAGGCTTATAAATCTTCTGAAAGTGCTTCCCAACTGTCTGCCTGTGACCGCCAGATTGCTTGAGAGTGGCAGCCTCCATTTCCAACACCAAGGCCCCAGGAATCCACAAACATTTTGAAAAAAGCTTCTCATCTCTTTTACCCAGTAAATGCAGCAAACATTGCTATTTTAAGCAGAAGTATTACTTAAATAGGATGCTTGCACGTTCTTCTTGATCCTGAATGAACTTTGCAGAGGCACACTGGCATGGAGCTATCACTTGAGTGAAACTGCTAGCATACGAAATAAAGTTCTAACTCCACGCTAGCTGAAAACACACTGACAGGTTGCCTGCGAGGCCTTCCCACATCCCTTAAAAAAAAACCAGTGTAATATTAAACCTACTTTGTTTGTTCCAGTTGTTGATTAGTTTTCTTTTTCCTTGGAGGCTTCTTCTTCTTTGGCTTACTGGCATTCTGACTATTTGTTTTGTTGTTCACACCGAAGTGTCCTGCTGATATATCGCTCTGTAGAAGGTTCACCAAGAGCGGGCTTGTGAGCGTGACATCCTTATTGACAGGAAAACCAGGATTCTGTCCACAGGAAATCTGATTCCCATTTGGCGTTCCGCTAAACCCGGAATTGAACGGCAGACCGTGGCCAGAGAAATGACTCCCCGAAGCACTGCTGCTTCCTTGCATTGCTTGCATATGGGAAGGCACCATGTTAGACTGCTGCACGGGAACATCAGGTAACATCTGTGTCACGTTCACATCACTACTTGTTGCAGTAGTAGTATCCCCAAGTTGCTGAGACATGTGGGGGCCAGGCCCAGTAGGTCTTAAAACTTGCCCTTGTATTCCCATAACCTGAGAAGGGTTACCGTTCACAGGGCCTTGTTGAGCCATCATCTGCCCAGTGAACTGCACCATGTTGCCTTGCATGTTTGGGGTTGGTCCTCTCATCAGTTGAGCTGGCCCCGACATAACACTGGACTGGTTTTGTGTATTAAAAGGCTGTTTATTTCCCTGCATTTGAGTGGTCATCATCTGTTCCATCATTGAGTTTGGCTGTAACAAGACCTGACCTTGAGGTCCCATCATCTGATTGTGTGTAGACATCATCTGTTGTCCCTGCTGGGAAATCATCTGTTTGGGTGGGGTCATCCTTTGGGGTGAAGGACCAAGATTTTGATTTTGTGGTGTTACCATCATTTGGCCTTGCGGCATGAGCTGAGTTCGAGAAAGTATCATCTGGTTCTGAGGGTTCATCGATCCCTGAGCCTGAATATTTACCATCTGTCCTTGAGAGGATACAATTTGCTGATGCATTCCCATAAGCTGAGACTGTGGTCCTTGTTGAGGCTGTCCTTGTATGTTGCCCATGTTAACTTGTGGCACTCCGCTAGCACCAGCCTGCTGGTTGTTCATATTTCCATGAAGTCCCATTAAATTGGTCTGCATTATATTTGGTGGGCCATGCGGTGCTTGCATCTGATTTTGAGGAGGCCCAGATCCTTGGCCACCTTTAAAAACAATTGTTAAAAAGCTGGTTAGAAACCGATGGGAGCGACAGAAAGTTTTCAAATCTGATGGTGAATAACTACTCCAAATTCATGCTCCTGGACACTGGAACATTGGACATATTTCCAGTTCTGTGCTATGATGTTTGGTACCACAGATAAACATTACTTGTCAAAACAGAAAATCATACCAGCACTTCTCAAAACAAGCACCTTCACTGGTGCTTCCTTTGTGGACCCCACTGCAGAAGGCTCATCACAGCTTTCATTTCAGTCATTATCTGTACATAAGCCTAAAAACATTCCACAATAGCACCTAACTTCACAAAATAATTACCAACTGCAAGAAGCTTCAAACCTTCAGGTTATTTTATAATAGGTAAAAAATAAACACACATATAGTAGTAATGAGGGGACATAATCCAGATGGAAGGCTGATAACCAAATTGTTAAAATATTTATGAACTACAGATATTTTTTTTTCCACAAAACTCTCTTTAAGCTGATTTCCAAAGCTTTCAGACAAACTAATAACTTTTTAAAATAAAACAAGGTGCTTCTTTTCTTCTTTTTCCTAAGATAACACTCTTCTTTTTTTCAGGACAAAAAGTTTATTTTGTGCTGTATCTTCATTACCCCTAGCCTCCAAATCTTTTTAACTTCCAAACAGATACGTATGGATCCTAGGATGACAGTCCTAAGTGATAATACTTGAGTACAACCTGCCACTTGATTTTCTTTTCCTCATTTAACAATACACATAGAATACCACTAAGCACTTTCAGTCCAAGCTAGCTACAATACTCCATTACTAGTAAGAATGTAATGTTTTATAATTGTGTTATGCAAGTAAAAGCATCATTTTCTACATACGAAAAAAAAAAAAACCAAAAAAAAACCCCAACAAAACCAAAACAAGCCATCAATAACTGAGGAACAACACATTCCAAACAGACCTGTGTGCTGCACATTTTGGCTGGTTTGTAGCTGTGGAGCTCCACTGTTCACTGGTGTTCCTGGTGCTGTGGAAGGCACCTGACCTTGCATGAAGCTCTGGTTAGCCTGGCCTGCAGGGAACCCGGGAGGGAGGCGCTTGGGCATTCCTTAACACAAGAATTTTCTCATTAGTATGCAGGGAAAGAAGGAAGAGAGAAGAATAAAGAGGAAAGAAAACAATCTGTAATTGGATTTCAGTAGGAAGAATCCCTTTGAGTATGTACTGTCACACTTCTGGTTTAGGAAGAAAGTAATTTTTGCCAATACGTGAAACCCATTGAAAGCATACTTAGAATTCTTACCTGTGCAATAGTTCTGCTTAACAAAGCACCACGACTCCACTGAAAACATAACTGTGCTTCTAGTCTAAGCAGAACATAACCCCACAGAAAAGGGGAAAAGTGGAATTTTCAGAAACCAGAATCTGAAGTACCATCATCTGCTGTTCTCTACTGCTGCTCATCTCTCAGCAGGACCTTAACTTACTCCATGTAAGCAAATACAAATATCTTGCATTTTTATGACACTTTTTCCTCCTCTCAACAAGACCTGCCACCACAACACACCAGGTACAACTTCCCAGCACTCCTTCGCCCTGCTGGTCCACGTACACACAGACTCAAAGTGACTGTTAGGCCCATGGAGGGCTGAGCTGAAGAATCTTCCAGGTAATGAGACAGAACAGGGCTTGGCTACCCACAAAGAGACTTAGCTGCAGCAAGTCCCAAGTTTATATAGGCAACCCTGCTACTCCTACTGCAAGTATTCTGCCAGGTCTGTGCCTGGCACAATGCCCACACTTGGACACATCACAACACCACTGCTGTCCTGCGACAGAGAGCAAGAATTGCACCGTTCCCAGCAAAATGAGCAGCAGCATGAAGGCCTCTAGCAAAACCCACCTCTTTACCTCACCATCAAATATACAGTACCACAGACCTATTAGAAACTCCATACTGCTGTATTTTCCTGATTTACAGACAGGATTTAACCTTGGCTCCTTCTATGACTATAGCTTCCTTGCACACTTTAACTGTATTGCTTGTGTAAATTAATCTGGTCTCATGTCTACAACTAATACTTCAATATAGTTGAGTTCATAAGTCAAACATCAGGTGCATCTGTAAATACGGAACAATTATTTCCAACAACACATTACAGGACTATAGTTCCAGTTCTGCAAAACTTAGAGCAAAATTCTGCACGTAGGAATGCTTTAATTGAGGAAAGTTAAATTTGGCCTCTTCTGAATTGCAAAATTAACCAGGTAAAAGTGTTGGAATGTATTCATTTACACTAAGCCTTTAAATGCAAAATGGCTCAAAAATGGAAAAATCCCTAACTATGGCCTAATTATTGTCTAAACTGCAGGAAGGACTAAGCATGGACAGAAGCCAGGCAAAAACCTCAGCAACTAGAAGGTGCCGTAGCTTTGTTTAAATCAACAGAATCGTTTTTAAAGGATCTTTTAAAAAGATCTGAGGATACAGCTCACAGCAGGATTACTGATTTTAGCAATAGAGCCTGGAGTGAGTCCAAATAACCTATTTTGATAGTTTATTTGGGTTGTTATTTTTAACAGAGCAAAAGGAGGGTTTTGTCTATAGTAGGTTTACATCGTAAGTATGCAGAGGTTAGGCTGTCTAGAAGTCAGGGTTACATTACCTAGAAGATAGTGATTCTTGACCGAGGACATACAGCTGGAGAGACAAAACTGTAAGGAAATGTGACAGTTCTCAAAATACATGGCCGCTGAAGACAAGAAAGGAGGTAGCAAGCAAAAGGCACTGCCAGACCCGGAAACCAGTCTACAGGAGGAAAACCCTAAAACTGAGACAATTCAGATGAATCAAACTGAACCAAATCCAAATGAGATCCACAACACAAACAGCGAAGATACCTGCCTAGATGAGTAGACCAAGGAATGGTACTTGTTACAGCTCAGCCAAGCTGTATCGGATGCACAGTGTGAGAACACAGGAAAACAGAATACATACAGGACTGTCTGTGGAGGTAGATAGAGAATATGGCCTAGACTTTGTAAGTACAGAAGGAAAAGATTTTAAAGACCCAGGCAAGAGCCTGTGCACAGGCACCTGAGAGCAGCCATTCAGGAGAAAGACAAACAGAGAGAATTGCTACAAGTCAGGCACAGCACCAGAAAAGGCACAAGGGAAAAAGAAAAACGAGGACACAAAAGAGATCTTAGGATTCATAAATGAAATTCTGCCATTGCTAGAGAAGCCTTCTGAGAGCAGTAAGGCAAAAACGTGAATGAGGAGATCCAAAGAGAAAACGAAGGACCACAAGACCAAAGAGGAAATTAAAACCTCCCTTTACTTTCTCATTTTAGAACAGGGAACAGCAGTAGCAGTGCTTTAATAGTGAAGAAACTGATGACAAATAAAGACAGGGTCAAGAGGAAACATCCACAACTTAGAAGGGAAGATGTAAAATAATGCTTCATTTCTGCAGCAGAGAACGTAAGTGGTGACAGACAAAGCTGAAGGGAAAAAAACATTCATTTGTTTTTATTGAACTCTCTCCCTTTCAAAACAAACAAACAATATCTTTGCCTATTCTGAACTTGCTGTAAGGCAACAGAAGAACTGCCAAGAGGATGACAAGGAGTCATAAGCAGAAACTACATACAACAACTTCGTTGCCACAGCCAAGAGTTCACTTCTAGGTTACTAACGCAGCACGTCAGGACACAGGTAGGTAGTAGAACTGAAGTGACTGATGCTAATTCACCCATACTCACCTTACAGGTACACAACCTACATCTTCAGTTTGTCTCTGAACAATGTTTTGAAAAGGAACAACACCATTAGTTCTAGCCATTTTATGTTCTTTCTTTCATTGTAAAAGACAGTCTTAGTACTTCTTACCTCCTAAGCCAGGGTGTAAACCTTGTGGACCTTGGTTCTGCTGCTGCATCACCATGAAGTTGGGGGGTACGTTCCCCTGTTGCACCATAGGATTACGACTAGGAGAACTGACAGTCTGCTGAAATCCCTGGGGAAGCGTGCTACTTTGGGGAGGCCTTGGTCCCATCTGCTGCTGCGTCTGGTTAACTGTTGGAGATGATGCAGGAGATCCCTGCTGGAAGGAGGAGGGAGAGGAAGCAGGAGACTTGTTGGTCAAGTGGGGTTGTTGTAGTGGTGTAGGAACGCGTGAGGGCCCTCCCTGAAGGCTTTTCATTTGAGGAGCAGTAAACTGGCCAGGATTGCTCATTTGGGGAAAGTTTGAGTGAGCCTGGGAAGCTTGCTGGCTTCCGAAAGGATATGGAGGTGGAGGATGAGTAGGAGTTTGTACTGTGGCTAGAGATGGTCTTGCTTGAAGTTGCTGTTGCATTTGTCCAGGTAAAGGGGCCTTTTTCCAACCCTGGTTTACTGTCAAGGTACCCAGTGCTCCCTGGGTTGGAGGAGGCTGAAGTGCTCCTGAAGGAAGCTGGTTCCAGCCAGGGGGAACCGGAACCTGTGCCGGTGAAGTAAACGAAGGTCGAATACCCTGCTGTGGCTGCTGATGTGGCTGGGGAGGACGTGTCTGCAACTGTGTTTGTTGCTGTAGTTGCTGAAAGTTGGCTGAGTTCATTTGCCTGTTTACAGGAACTGATTGCATTGAATGGAGTTGCGGAGCTAAAGATCCAGATGGATGATTTTGCTGCTGGATATTTAACCCAGATAAAAGTGGGTCCATTGCATCTATTAAAATAGCAAAGAAAAGTTAAAATAAAAGTAAATAACCTACTGTAGACAAAAACCACCACAAAACAAGGAAGGGTAAATTGTTTGCTTGCATCTGTTCACTCTGCTGAAATTAAGGTCTAACAAATATTCACACTCCAGTGCTCCAATTCCTTCAACAGACAGGACAGACAACACTTGGCTTCTCAGGATTCCCTCTGAAAACCTTCCAAGTCTCATGAATTTATAACCTCTAAAAAAAAAAATAAAAATGGGTAACTCCATTGCACCTGTTCCTACAAACACAAACCTTCTACACACTTACTGGTACAATAACACAAACGTTAACTGGTATTACTCCTACCAGCTAAAAAAGTGGCAAAATGAGGAATTAACACAGTCCTAGAATATTTGAAACATTCATTAAAAATGTTGTCTGTAAGAATAAATCCTGCAAAGATCTAAAGGAAGCTGGTAAATACTACTACAATTTTATGAAGGGAGAACTAATAATCTCCTCTCTTTTTCTACAATCTCATAATTATGAAGAAAATAACCATAAATTGAGGTAAGCCCCTCCCACCAAGATCCCCAAACATTAAGTTTCTACTCTCTCTAATCCTGTTTCAAAAGCACCTGTCCTTAATCTGGCACACGTGCTTCCTACTGCAGACCCCTGACTCATTCAACCATTTCTCTCCTTAAGACAAAGCTCTGTCCTAACAGTGTTACACGCAAAGGATACCGCTGCTGCTCAACACATTTGAAGAAAACATTAAGGAACCTGGAGACTTCAGATCCCCGTGTTATCTGACAAATGTCACCATATGAACAGGGACAAGGAGGGCCCTCCAGAAAGAGCAACTCTCAGAAAAGGCGAAGGAAAAGCTTCAGGAAACTCTGGAGTTCATTTACAGGTACAGTCTCAAACTTGCACACTGAAGAAAAATATTCCAGGTAAACATTTCTAGTAAAGACCAGTGCTCTGAGTAACTTTTACAACCTGGCTGTGAGGAAGGTCGAGGTGTTCTTGGCTGCAGCTCTGTACCAGCACCACCTGCCACCATAGAGGATGGCATGCTTCCACTCTGGGACATCATAACAGCTGCAGCATTGCTCATTCTTATCAAACCTTAAAAAAAAAAATAATAACAATAATAATTAAAAAGCCAGCATATTACCGAGTACAGCAATTTTTACATAGAAAAGCATTAAAAAAAAAAAAAAAAAAAAAGCAATTAGACTTTACAAATTGTTCTCCTGAAATAGCTGGAGGACACAGATCTCTGCCTCTGGAATAAAACACACAAATTAAGGTCATTCTGAAGCAGAGCCTTTAACACCAAAGGCTTAGAAGGCTGTAGAAAGAATCTGCCTATTACCAACTATTTGAAGCTTTCCTCTCTTGCCTGACTTGGCACCAAGTGACGAGACTGTACCAAAGTAATGCACTGTGAGAAAGAACAGTTCTAATGTCTCTTTTACAAAGGCTGCTGTTTTGTAAAATGGTTTGTATCTCTGACCTGATGGTTAAATTCTTATATTTGTATTGTTACCTGCAGGCAGGAAAGGAACCCCATGATCATCCCATGGAAGATAAGCTTTCTGAGTCAAACTTTCCTGCCCTTTGCTAATCACCACAATTTACTATTTAACTCTTTGTTTAATCAGGTTTCTACATAGGTAAAGTCTTCCCATTCATTCCCATCAACAGCCACAAACGTGCCTTAAATTATCTGTTGATCCCAGTCTTCTAACTGCATGAAGTCCTATTTACTAAGATACCACTTAGTTTATCTCACCTTTTGATTCAGCTGTTAAAATAAATGATACAGTGTTTTTCCTTCAACTTTTAATAAAATCTCGCTTTTATAATGAAAAATTGCTTACTATGCACATACAAACCAGGCACTCAATAAAACTTCACCTCTTAAAGAAATGCAGTTCTCTGTGATCAGATCTCTGAAGGTTATCCAAAGATAGAGACCAAGAATAATGACAGTGCCCCGTCCTTCACTTCACTGCACCAGATTTCACCTGCAATAGCTTACTTTTCTGCACTGAATCAAGCCTTACGCCAAGTGCCATAAAAACAGAACTGTGTCATAATCTCTGCACATTTTAAAGTGAAGTCACTCTACAAGACCAAAGTGATTTTACAGCCTCTCACAAAAAAAATGATTCAAAAAAGCCAAAAAAAACCTGCCCCACCCAAATCACTCTAGTGTTAATACGGAAAACGCAGCCCATGATTTACATGACCTGGGATTAGACAGTGCAGAAACAAGAACATACACCAATTTTATGGCAACTATAATTCCTGTAACAGTAATTGCTATGACCAGTGAAATTTCATAATATGCTTCATAAATTCCAAGCTTTGTAAATCTAAATCATTTCTTTAAAAAGCAATTTACCTTGTCCCCCTTGCATGGGAAATCCAGTTTCCATTCGTACTGAGTTGTTTGCTCCCAGGGGCCCATTGATTCGGACATCTTGGCTTCTATTTTGAGCTAGAGCTAAATTGATAGCACCTTCCCCTACAAGTAACACAGAAGTTGGGGGAATTGAATGATATGCAGGAAAGCAGAATACAGACACCTTCAAAAGGATATTTAAAAGATGCCAAGGAAGGAAGAACAAACTTTACCTATAATATGCACTTTGTAAGTTATGAACAATACCCTTATCTTTATGTTTCAATTACCAAAAAAAGACAGCATCGTGGCAAGCATTAAGTGCCTTCAATTTCATCCTCAGTGTGCTCTGAGAACAGCTGCCCAGGACAGATGTTTCAGTCATGAACTCCACTGAAACCTTCATTTAAAAAAGCCTCACAGGAGCCAATCAGGAACAGGGCACATTTTGCTAGTAACACTCACAAGAACATTCTTCAGCAGGTTTCCTGCTGCTTACAGGATTTTCAGCTTCTGTTATTATTATTTCTATAACACCTACTCTCAGAAGAATAAAAGCCTTACACTCCCTTTTCATTGAAATTATTCTCCAAATTGCTGAATTATGACATTCATAACATTAACTAAGTACAAAAAACCTCTTGATGAGAGTGCTTAAAATTGTAGTATGTATTCATTATAACGCCCAGGAAAACAAATTAAGCATGAAATACCTTCAATCTGAACAGAGAGAATCCCCAGATCACGAAGCTGTTGGTTGTTATTCTGAGCCAGGATGCGCAGCCGCTCCGCAGCTTCGCGCGGTATGTTAAAGGTGACGCGCACGCTGTTCCAAGGCTCTATTTTCTGCAGCTTTAACTTGTTGGATTCTTGAAAGAGAAAAGGCCAGAGTTACTGCAAAGTCAATTTTCAAACATGCCCCGTGAAATGACTTGGTAAAGAAGCACATGTGAAAACCCCCAAAGCGGTGATTTGGCAGTGAAGCTGACCCGTGGCTACCCTCAGCCGCAGGGAGTTCTCCAGCACAGATGAGAGCACTGCACTGCTTCCCAAAAATTAGCCAAACGAAAACTGAAAAGTTATGACTAATGGAATAGCCAACACAAACACTCAATAATATCGCTCAAAAAGCAAAATATCCTGTGAAGAAACTGCTTTGGAAAGACAGAACACACATTACAGTGGATTTAATAGGACTGTTGGTGTGCAAGATGTGAAAAATGCGAATATGAGACTGAAGCCCTCGCAATTCACTCTGCGAGATGTTTGTGAAATGTTTTTTGTAGGCCAGTGCCAATGAAGTCCTACTGGTATTTCATTTGCTCCTACCATGTTATTCAGTGATTCTGCACAGGGATGCTCAGACTGCTGCAGAAACCACATTGAAGTTGTACTAAATATTTAACAGCAGTTTTTCTGTAAGCCTGTTCTATGTATGAGTGCTTCTACACAAATCAATCCTTTTAAAAGTAACAGGTGGGAACAGGCTGAAAGATAAGCCAGCAATGTTGGAAACACGGATCTGAAGTTGCATGCAGTTAAAACTGCAAAGTGCTGTTTAGGGAAAGAAAAGGCTAGATTCCTAATACAGATTTACAGGCTTCCAACATCAAGCTTTTTGACAAGGAAGAACAGCAGACTTGCAGGAGTTTGCTTTGTGCTCCCTAAGAACAATTCACATGCAGCTCACCCCTTCTTGTCCTAACTAGCTCACCAAGACCCTTCTGCTGCTGCAGTAATGGCACTACTCAGTTTGTCCTCTTTCCATCAAACGCATCTTCAGAGGAAAGGTGACAGAAGCTTAAAATCCTCCTTGATGCAGGTCTGAGTGGTGCTGTGTTGAATCTTACCAGCGTTCCAACACTTTACATATAAAAAACGCATTATCAGTTTCACTACTTCTACATGTTTGAAAAATGAGAGATCAGATACCAACATCAAATCTCACAAGTCTAAACCAATATGATTCACTAACTTGACATTTTGAATACCCTGTTTTGTTCTGAATCAGCTCAAATAACTCACCACACTGATCATTTCAAAAGGATTGATTTTAAAGATTTGTTTTCTGCTTTCTCAGCTGAAGCTTGAATCGTGTTCATTAATTCTGCCATTAATATTTATAAGGAAGGCAGCATACAGATGCCTGTATGTAACAAAGGCGACTCCATACAGACACAGATTGAATTTGCTCCCATCAAAGTGCTGCACCAGTTACACCACTGCTAGCCACATCATCTTCAACCTCCACCAGAACACAGCTCAAACCAGTGGGATTTCTTCAGTGTATTCATCACTTATCACAGCTTTGTAACTTCCATTCAGACCCCAACAACCGAAGCCATCAGTTCCAACTATGACTAGAGAAAATGGAAAGCTAAGAACAAAGTGACCCCGAAATGCGACTAGTTTATTCAGAAGCCAGAAATTAGTTTTCAGAAATGGTACTCTGCACTATGAAGAAACATGTAACACAAGAAATATTTTAAAATCTAATCCAGAAAATTGGATTTCTTTAAACACAAAAACTGACTGCCTTTAAAGAACAGTGGATTCTTCTTTGTACTATGTGATTTCAAAAGAATATACAAAAAAGCAGCATGACAGGACAGAGACCTCCAGTTCTCAGGAAAAGACAGACAGGAAGGAGGAGAGAAAACTCAAACTGGCAATTATGTGGCTTCTAGGCTGCATTATATCATAATAAGCCAAAGCAGAGCAGTGCTGCTGAGGTTCTGCACTTCCTGGTGCTGCTGTGTATGCACCTGCCGCTGCATTTAAGGCAACCTCCCCTGGTTTACCTGTTTCTGTAGCAGATTATACTGACAGCAGGCGGTCACCTGACTGTTCAGTAACATCCATCAATCTCCTCCAGTGATCAGAAGAGGGGCATTGCTGGGCTGGCCAGCAGTGGGGAGGAAGCAAATCACTGACACAAGCACAATGACCCAAACTACCCCAACACTGCACCCATCCAGAAAGACTGCTACTGTGTGAGAAAGACTACATAACCAAACAGCTACAGTTAATCATCATAAGTTCCTTTGCAAAGATCCTGACACAGTGGACAGATGTTTTTTTCCAAATCTAGATATGCTGATAAGACACGTTGCTGTTGCAAAAGCCCGTGTCACCAGTGAACCAGGGAAGCCTGTCCACACAGTGGGCACACAGGACCATGTCAGAATGCTCCGTTCTCCCCCCTTCACAAAAGAAGCCTGGTAGATGAGGTCAATGCAGCAGCAAAGTGACAGTAATGACTTGAACAGGCCCAGCTACTTCAGAGTGAATCTATTCTCAACTGCAGTGGTTTAAATCGGATGGTTTTGATATTGAAAAGCACATCCTGTTTGGATGAGCTTGGTTTCACTTTCATACAAAAGAGCAATATGTAATGGAGAGAACTGAAAAAGAAAAAATACAAGTAAAACACTGGAACCAAATAGGAATGAATGAATTCACTAATCAGATCAGTTTTAAACAATAAAGTAACTGCAGAAACTTGTACTTAGTGCCCCTGAGAAGAACAGCACCCAGATGGACTGAGATCAAGTCCAACCAACCATCCAAGGAACTAGAAAATGGCAATCTATTTCTTTTTACAAGCACTCTGATTAAGTAATTAATTATTCTAAGGACGGTTGAAAAAATGATGAGAAAGTACATTACCCATATGTAGAAGGCCAGGTACATTCTCCAGTATAACGCTCAGTTTCTGTTCAAAGTCTCTATCCTCTATATCTCCTTTAAAAGCTACAAAGATCGTGGAGTCCTCAGGAGCAGCCTCCTGTTTCAGTTCGTCTTCCTCCAGTCCTGAATCCAAATCCACCTCTAAGTCTTCCATAGCCGAGGAGTACAAGGAGGCACATGTATCTCCCAGCTTTGGTAGGTCGTCCAGAACCATTGTGTCCAACAGTGGGAGCCAGTCAGACGTTCAGAAGATACTTTGGGAGAAAAATACAAGTTACAGTCTGCAAAGACACCAACAGCTGCACTCAACAGCGCACAAAGAACAAAACCCACCGGGTGACCCTGTGCGAGGGCCTGCGGGACAAACAGCGCGACTCCGAGCAGCGCGGCCATCGCAGCGGCCGAGCTGTTTGTCCACCAGAGCAAACAGGAGTTGGTGGTTTCCTGACAGAATCCTTCCACATGTGACTGGAGCGGTATTCCCGCTGGCCTAAATGACAAAGAAAAAGGGAAGGGTAAATAAAATCAATGGCTCTCATCTCCGCGTCATACAGAGGTCAAACAAGAATCCGTAACAACTCTGCAATGCCTGGCTGCCGGGAAACTGCAGGGCACTGGGCAACACTTTAATTGCAGGGAGCTGGGGGGAACCACCAAACAATCGTAGGGATTGCAGATGCTTTGTACAGCAAAGCAGCAGGAAAGCCACAGCACCAGAAGATATTCAGCTTTTGATGAGAATTTTGCTCGTCCAGAGAACTCCCCAGCACACAGTGCCTGCTTTATGAAGGTTCAGGTGTTCTCAGCTGCGTAAGCACATTACAGCTTGAAATGTATTGCCTCTATGCTAGCCCACAACTTTTCCATCTTCCAGTGGAATTCATAAATCAAGTCATGTGCCCAGTACTGCTCGCTCCAGGAAACACACAATAAATTGCAGTTACATTATGATGTCACCTATGCAGAGGTACAACCTGAGACAGAAGTTGTCCATACAGCACAGAGAACAGCAGCATTTACTAAGATTCACACTCCCCACTTTGCCTGCAGCCATCACAGGGCTACAGGACCACGTGAGACAGCCCGATCCCCACTCTGGTCTCACACCCAACACTCAGCAAATATTTCTTATGCAATTCCAAGCATCCAAGAGTCAATACAGAAAGGAACCAGTTCCTGCCCACCGCCGTGATTAACAAATCAAACCAACAGGCCATGCTGCCAAGACCTTGTAACTCGCAAGCTGCTGGCATTCAGCATGAGCCACTAGAAGGGCTCAGTTCAGATGCTCTGCCCTCCAATGGGATGCAGACCAGCTTCTTGGCAGAGGTTCAAGTTTCTAACACAACTTAAAACCACAAGTCGGAGATTAAAGGTGAATTGCAGATAGCAGCTGAAAAAAAAAGCCTTTCTTCATCCAGAAAGTAACCAAGTTAGAAAGGCTTATGCTGCACTTTGTTGTGACAGCCCACCCAACCCAGCACAAGCCCACCCAACCCAGCACAGCCCACCCTGCTGCAGCAGCAGGCCTCTGCTCTGGAACACCGCTCAGATTTGGGATTGCAGATGCAGGTGGTTTTGTAATCTATGTTCTTTTGCAGTCTGCACTGAAAGTTAAAATACTTCACATGTGTTTCCACAGTGCTTTCAGACGAGTACTTTTTATTTGTTCCCCAGACTCTTTCATGCTCAGCTAAATCACAGCTCTGAGTGCTCTGCACTGAGTCAAACTCCAGCTCCACATCACGTGCCCAGGTAATGAGGACACAGCTGATAACTGTCTACAGGAAAGTTGGCTTAATTGATTTTCACCAACAAATGAATGGTGAGTGTCTTTGGCAGGGCCGGGCTGGTTTCCCTAACCACAGATCACCCTGTATCATTCATTACACATACTCTGACTTCTTGAAAGAAGGAGCTCAGAGCCCAGCATGAGGAACAGCCTTAGGGACAACCACACAGGGGCCTGAATGAGCACCCTGTGAAAAACAAGCTGCATCTTCTGGAAATAATGAAAGAAACACCTATAAAACACATATAACCTGTTTTCAGAAAGAGAAATTTTGGATCAATATGTGAGGTTTTAAATGCTCAAAATACATACAATTACTCAGGGAGAGATGTTCTACCTCCACTGAGAAGCACGAATATTTCTGACAGTCCCAAGCACCAAAGAAATGACCTTTTCCTCTGTAAAAGCACAAACTCTTCAATGTTATTTATTTTGATTGTTAGTGTCTGAAGTGCCTGCAGCAGCTTTGAAGACACCTCTCAAACACGCAGCTTGGCCTGCTCCTATGCTCAGGTAGGATTTATACCGACCGCGACAGGAGGAAGCGATGATTTGTGAAACCTTCCTCTTTGGGCAGAGCACAGCCTGTCTTCCATCCCCAAACCAAATGAATCCCAGCTGCATCCCTCTTGCTAACAAATTCTGTAATCCCCTGGTTATAAGGTTGACTGCCATAAATCAGAAGCCAGCCCACAAGCACAATTAGCAAGGATCTTCATTCAACACTCTGCCCTATAACCCTTCCCACCACCACTTTCCCCCTCCCCCCCAGACAAGAATAAAAACAAAAACTTTCAGGCCTGAGCACACGCAGCAAAACCCCAGTCCCAGTGACGCTGGTAACCTCGTGTAGATGCCTGTAGAGGCTGGGGCTGCAGCTGGGGACCAAGAGTGGAATCAACATGCAGAACTGCAGAACGGCCTGAGCTGTGGCAGCAGGCAGCCCAGGCCTACAGCAGGAGCCTGCAGCACAGATCCAGTGCCATGCGATGGGACAGTGCTTAGCAATGCCAGTGGGTTCCTGGGAGAGGGGATCAGAGCAGATCAGAGCCAGCCTGCAGCAGCTAGCCGAGGCAGCTGAGTGCTGAGAAACACCGGCTACAGCCCTGCCAGATGGAGGCAGGACAAAATGAGCTCTGTCTTGGTAGTTCTGTCCTGAGACAATCTCAAATGATTTGAAGTTACAGTTATACCAGCCTGTTAAGCAGAGTTTGAAGCCTTTATGTCTCTTTCTTCCCATCCCACTTGCACTATGCAAGTCAAGTAAAGCACAGCAAGGCTTTGTCCAGTGGCTGGAAAGGGTGAGAACAGTTCCTTCACAAGCATGGAAGAACCAGAAGGACGGATGGGCTGATGTCCTTCATGAGCAGATGCCAGAAGTCAGCACAGAGTGCAGCCCTCATCCCCACAGTGGCAATTATTTAAAGCTGCTGAAACCGGGAACAAGAAGAAAAATCAGTCCAGAAATGAGACTACAATCAAACTCTTCAGGGAATCCAGAACTGATGGCGAGGAGAAAAAGGCTTTGACAGCAGCAAGTAGTGACATAATTTCCAAAGGACACACAACCCTCCCTGCTTCTGCCTTCATTGAAGAATGTTGCACAAACATCTAAATGGGAATAAAAGGAAACTGGGAAAAAAAAAAAAAAACAACAACCAACACCACATCCAGCGTCCTCAATGCTTCCTAGATTGTTGACATTACTTCCAAGCCAAGCCATTCTGTGATTCTGTGATTCATTCCATGGTTCATACACAGGGGGTCTATGATGCAAACACCAAAATCACATACTTGTTCTAAGCATCCAGATTCAAACGCAATGTATACTTCTTCTACCTTCCACCACAAATTCCTAAACTTCAATTGTATTTTGTCTTCAGTTAATTCCAGGCTGGGAAATGGTGTGAAACAGTAACTCCCAAAAAATGACATCTTGAAAGAAAGTTTCTATGTTCCATGAGACAAGGATACAAAATTACAAAAATATCCAATGTTCCACAATGAACACCTTGGTTTTTTAAACACAGCTCTGCAGCAAATCCCAGTCTGAATTCTGCAAACAAGCTTTTTGACTACATCCCAATATTAACAGCAAACACTGAGATATGGAAAAAACAACCTTTTTTCGCAGGTAAAGAACCACACATGCTCCTTTTGGCTGACAAAACAGAGCAAGTTTTATCTACACTACTGCCCTATTTGTCCTCTTTCGATTCAAGATAAACCCTTCTGGATGTCATTCATTAAAAGAAAAACAGAAAAGGGAATAAGAAAGCAGCATAAGAACAACACACTGCTACAAGCCTCCTCGTCCCAAGCACACCCTGCCAGCTCAGGCTGACCCCCACCACTGCACACTGTGGGCCACACATGCACCTCAGGATGCATCGCCTGGGGATGTTCCACCACAGATGGCCAACAGAGCGAGGTGCACCATCCCTGGATCCTGCTCGTGTTCGTGGCTTCCCCACCGTGCTCTCCAACCTCTCAGCATAATGAAGGCACAGCAATAAACTGGTGGCTTTGGCAGAACCAAATCAGGGGTTTTATAGCAGTGTAGCAGTGATGTTCTTTGAGCACATGTCCTGCTTACATGCAACCTGCTCGCCAGCGTGGCAGCAGGTGAGGGAAGAAAACCCAGAAAAATAAGCTGAAATTGGTATTTTCTACCTAGAAAAGAGAAGAATCTCCTCAAAATCCCTCAGTATTGTACTTGGCATTTCTGTTAGCCCAGCAGCCAAGGGAGGGAAGCACTACTCACGTTACATCACATTACACGTGCTCTGCAGCAGCTTTCATTGCTACCTGCCACTTCTGGACCTTTGGTACCTTCTTGTGTCTCCTCACATCGTAACTCAAGAAGCAGCGTAGGGCCAAGCAAAGAATCTCAGTGGCTAAAACACAAGGATAACGCCGCTGATTCCAGCTACACTGATGATTACACCCATGGAAATGCTGTGATATCAAGTTGAGAAGCAAAACTAAAATCTAAAACGTGAAATTTGAATACCGTTCACTAAATGTAGGCCAAAACTCAAAATGCAGCTAAAGCAAACGCGCACCAACTTCTCCCCCTTCTCACAGCAGGACGCTCCCTGCAGTGCAGCCACTGGGCTGTGCGCTGTGTGCCATGGAACAGACGGACCGCAGCCAGCAGCCAGGCCGGGCTGCCCCAGAGGCTGCAGGGCAGAGCGAGGCGCTCGCAGGAGGATGCCGGCTGCTGCTGCCTTCGTCCCCCTGAGCACTCAGCAACATCAAGTTTGGTTACAGAAAGTCACTGATCAGCTTTAGCATGTTACCTCCAGCTTTCCTTACAGTAAGTGATTTGACAGAGACCTTGGGAGCGCCCAGGCACTGAACAGATTCTTTCACAGACAGCAAAGAATCCATCCCAACAGCCCTGTAAAGAGTTCAATCAACACGAAAAGGCCCAGTTTGATCCGATGCTTGCCCAGACGTCAAGGAAGCAAAGCCTACAGGAAGGCCAGGCTTCATTCATCTTGATGCACGGCTTTTCTCCATTCCCATATTTTTCCACTACACTTCCACAGCCTTCAGGCACAAAACAAGTAAAACCTGTGTTTGTCTGAAAGATAGAAAACCACAGATGGCTGCAACACCTGTGCTGCATCTTGATGCACACTGTTTAGCAGAACTTTGGCATTTTTAAGGTTCTATGAAGCTGAAGTTTATGA